GGCGCGGTCGGTGCTCGCGCTTACGGCTGTCCCGCGTTTCTGCCCGCAGATGGCTCAGTGCGTGACCAGGGTGGAGCTGTCCGTGTCTTGTGAAAATCTCCTCGACAAAGATGTTGGCTCAAAATCTGATCCGCTCTGCGTCTTGCTTCAGGATGTGGGAGGTGATCAGTGGACTGAGGTAAAAGTGGTTTCTTATCCCCGATTTTGCAATGTAATGCACAAAAAATGTAATTTTCTAGAACTAGTGTAAAAGTTTCTAGCTGTTGTTCTTCCTAGTAGTTGTATCATGCATTTGGTGATTGTATTAGCATTCAGCGGATAGTTCCTGATCTTCATACCCCAGTTGTAAGATGGGGTTTGAGTTACATGTTCGTTGGCCTCATTAGCTGTACGCGCAGTTCCTTAGAGGTGCAAGGAGGACATCAGTTTGCCTGTTACCACGTGATCTAGAGCTATACCTCTTCCTTTTCCCTGGAGCATGCAATCAGAATATAGTGCTTCACTGGCCTCTTCTTTCTTTTTTGTTATTTTTTTTATCAACGGAATTTCTGCATGCCAGAACGCTTGTTTGCTAGTCAATGCAATTTGTTTTTTTTTTTGGAGAGCCATCAGTAAGCCAGATGACAGTGGTTTGTTGTTTCGTATAAAGCGTACAGGCTAGGTTGCATGCCTAAGTCACTGCCTGCGTTAAACCAAAGGAGACCAGGGGAACGGGGATGAAGAGTTTTACGGAAGAAAGTGTGACTCTTGTTTGTATTAACTAACCGCTTTCCCTTTCTGTTTGTACAGTTAGATCGAACAGAGAGGATAAAGAACTGTCAAAAACCTGAATTCTCTAAGAAACTGGTTGTCAGCTACTACTTTGAGAAAGTGCAGAAATTGAAATTTGGAATATATGATATTGATAATAAGTCCTTTGATTTAAATGACGATGATTACCTTGGTGGGATTGAGTGCACGCTGGGACAGGTACATGTAGAAATAAGTTAAATGGTCTACAAAGCAGAGATAACTGTTGGCTTTATTATGAAAAATGGGAGGAAAGACTGGGATATTGGAGGCTTTGGCACATTAAAATTTGAAGATGTCTCGTTCGTTACACTTAACGGATTAGTTTATGTTGCTAGTGGATATAAGTAGAAAAGCTCTTATGTTCAGCTCAAGTTTCTACTTGATTTTTGGGAACATGAGTTGGGGAGCACATGCAGCTCTGGTATAGGGTCTGGAAGACACTGGAAAAATTTCCTGTGGAGAGCAGAAAATATGTGTGATTTGCAATTAATTGCCTAAAATGGGAAGCTCTTCTAGCACTGAAGGGAGCCTAGAAGTAAGGAATGCATGGTGTTTGGGGAGTTTATAACAGAGCTGTTCTTGCATGTTCAGTGTCCTTTGCACAAAAAGATGGTCAGGCAGTAAATTTAGGGAAATAAGACTATTTGAGATTCCGTATTTATTTATTTAGGAGAGTTTGAAAATTTTAATCTTGAAGAAATTTTACTCTTGTTTGCTTTGTCATATATTTATTTTCTATCTTTTAATCTTAGATTGTGTCCAGCTCAGTGTTCACCCGACCTTTGGAGCTGAAGAAGGGAAAACCAGCAGGAAAAGGCACTATTACGGTAGATGAGCTGTTTTTGTGTGGAAAAAATGACTTCTCTTGCTTTCGTGTATTCATACCGTCTGGGACAGCGGTTTTGTTTTAGTATGTTTTCAAACACTATATTTTTACACTACAGGAAAGGTAGATTCTTGTAACTATACACAGAGTTTCTTTCATGCACTAAGTATATGCAGAGCTCTTTTAGAAAAACAAGAAACCAAAACTTGTTTTTAAATTTTTATGGCACAGATTTCAGCAGAGGAGATTAAAGATGCCAGAGTTGTGTATTTGGAAATTGAAGCCCGAAACTTGGACAAAAAGGTATTGATTCTTAAAATATTGTGGGCTTCTGCACATGTTGACTATATTTACAGTTAGTGCCTTTCAGCCGGGAATCTCACTGTATTTGCAAACGTTCAACTAAGCCACGTAATCCACTTGTGAAAAAAGGCTCATTACGTATCATTACTGGCAGTGAGGTGGACTGGAGACATAATTTTGCATTGAGAAATGTGTCAAGCTGGAAACTTAACCACTGTATGAAGTTTTGAGAGATTATTTTGCCTTTAGAATTTTCTATATGTCTTGTTTGATTAAGTAATCATCTCCAAGGAGTATTTTAGCTGTGCAGTGAACTGGACTTTCTGTAATGTTATATAAGGAAGTAAAGGTGAAATGTAGGTATGCTACCTTGATGTTATTTTAAGTCGAGGACTGATTCAGAGTATCAGTGACCTCACTGCACAGCTGGCCAAATGACATGATTTATAGTAGCAGAAAAGGTCTGGGGAGGCTCAGTCTTGGAATTAGAACTGGTAGATTGTGATGACTTTGAAAATGAAGCAGTTTAAAATAGTAAAGTAAAATTTAAAAAAAAGAAAACAAATTTATGGTTTGTTTGTGCTTTTTTTTTTTTGTAGAGTGTTGTGTAATGATTAGCTAGCTCTCCTCATTTGAATAAAATACAGGAGATTGATTGCTTCTGTGGGGTTTTTATGTTTGCAGGATTTCTTGGGTAAATCGGATCCGTTTTTGGAGTTTTATAAGCAGAGTGATGTTGGAACATGGCAGCTGGTGTACAGATCAGAGGTAGCATTTCTACACTGATATACTGCTTATTGTTGAGTTGATCAGATGGTTTGCTCCTGCCAAAAGCAAGGGTCCCACTCCTGGTCACGTCTTGCACCAGTTCTGCAAGGAAAATTGTCATGTACCCCCCAAAAAAGGATATAGCTCACTGGTGTGGCAGAAAATTGTTTACTTTCTGCCTCGTCACTGGGTTAATAAGCCAGCTCAGTGAAGAGTCCAACCAAGTGAAATGAAGAGTAGCAAGACGTCCCCTTTTCAGTGATGATGAGCGCTGTTAAAGTTCAACTTCATCCTTAACTGCTAGCCCTTGTTTCTTTTAGCACCTGACCTTTTGCTTGGTCTCCCATGCATGTTGTGATCTGTTAGATTTAATTCACTAAGGCTGTTAGAGGTTGCCGCCGTAGAAGTGCAGTACCCTCATGTTAAATTTCTTAACAATTTGCATGTAGCATCTCTCATGTTATGTTATTTATTGCAATTTTTAAGGTGATTAAGAACAACTTAAATCCATGCTGGAGGAAATTCAGTGTTCCCTTGCAGACATTCTGTGGTGGAGATTTTAATAAACCTATCAAGGTACAGCCTTCAGAAATTTTCTGTGTTTATTGTTGTAAGTAACCCTCTCTCTGTTGACATAAACTATGAGCTATCAGGTTGTCTAGTCATATTTAAATAATTTTAGACTGCTTTTCTAAAATAATAATATGGCAGATAAGTAATTATATGTCTATTAAATATGAAGCCTTTGTTAAAATATTATGAGCTGTCAAACTGAGAAGTTGGGAAATGCAGAAGTGACACACTTTCTAATCATTAGTCATAAGAAGAATGATGATTAATTATTTGGCTATTCTGACCTTCCCCTCCCTTCCACCTCCCCAACACTATTTCTAAGTTATCTGAGATACTCTTATATATTGGACAAGCTTAAATGGCTAACAGAGAGCACCTTAATGCAATTTTCAGCTTCATGCGTTCACATGAACAGGGGGCTTATTCAGACTTTTTCTGGTCTAACTAGAAATTTTAAGTTAAAAATGCAATTCCTTGAGGTTTTGCATATGATGACTAATTCTCTCTGGTCCCAAATTATGGAGGTAACAGAATAATTAAGTCTTACAATAAGTTACTACAAAAAACAAAAATCTTATAGCAGGTTAATGTGTTGAGATTTCTAAGCAATGCATTGATAATGTAAAGGCTGTTAAAGCCATAGATCGTTCTAAGTGAGTAAAGGCTCTCTTGGCTTGTTCAACTCCTAAACACTTTTCATTTGCAGAATTTTCCTGCCTTGTGCTGTCAGTGAAGAAATCGAGTGCTGGAAGTTTGATTTTAAAAGTTTAGCATAAAGCATGCGTGCTGATCTTTTTATTTGTGCAGCATGGCAAATCCAAAGAATTACTGAGATGATTGCCTTGGAAATAAATTTTCAAGTTTACTGGGGTTATTGAATATGTGGCGATGTTCTAAGTGGTGTTCGTGAGCCTTATCGTTGGATAGTCAACAGTTCTAGGTCAGAAGAAAGTCCTCTTGATACAAAAGTGAACAGCAAATGTGAAAAGATTGGCAAATGAGGGTAAGTATCCCTTTGCCAAACTGACATAAACACACTTCAGACATTCCCTTACATGAGGTTTTATTTCCTGTGGTCCAAATAGATTTGTTTTTTTTCAGAAGCTTTCTGTGCTTTACAATTCACTTTGGAATGCCTTGCTTTTTAAAAATGACAGATTTTTTGCTATTCCTTCGAGCCATAATTGTCAGTGCATTTGCAAGTGCTCCATTACGTTTCACAACACACCTGTGAAAAAGGAATATATTGTACTTCACTTATTGGTTAGGCAAGTCCGTCAGAATGGGGAATCCAGACTAAAATAAAGGAATGTTGCTAGCAGCCCTAAAAAATACAACACTGAGCTGGAGTTTCATAGAACAGTAGGGGAAAAATGCTGTAGGGTCTTTAATTATGTTGGGTAGTTAAACTGTTCTTTAATGTTGGGACAGGGCAGTTGCTTTACAGAAAGGATAGCTATTCTTAGTCACTTCTCCTGGTATTTTCTTCTCTGAAACTCTTGGGGGTTCCAGAAATTTATGTAGGGAACATTATGCATGAAATAGAATAGTCAGTGAATGGAGAGCTCCTTGTACTGAAGTCAGTTTGATGTATGTCCTAAACATCAGCTTTGCCAGCCATGTATGAGGATTATTTAGTGGAAAATGTGTACTGAATGTGTATGTGAACATAAATCTTTTGATCAGATTAGTGATGCTATTTAATATTTCAGTAATTCTTTCTTTGTTGTGGTGCAGAGAGTGATCTTTTCCTGGTTTTCTGTTTTAAGACCGCCTCAGATTTGAGACACAACCTAATCTTCTTGAATCTTTCTTTAAAAAAGGGGGCAAATGAAAGTAGCTTCTCTCCCCCATAGTTGTTTAAATGCAAATAGTAAATGTGAGATTTAAAAAAAAAAAAAACACACTTGCCAGTCCATCCATTTGATGGTATATGCATAAAGTAAAATCTATTTTTTCTGAATTTTAGAAGTTTTTCATGTGGATGGAAGGGACCTTTTACACACTTAATTACGTCCCAAGGTTCTTAATGAATATTGAATAGTTCAATTGCAAAGAAATAATTTCTCAGTAAATAATAATAGTTCATCAGTAAATAACTACACATAGTACCCTACAGTATTGCTAGCTGACCCCAAAGTTAGGCTGTGTTTCAGAAAGCAGTTATGACAGCTTTTGGCATTTTTATCCCATGTCACGTCTTTCATATGTTTGTGGCAGCACAGCTCTGCAGGCTCCATGCTGTGAATCTCAGCCCATTTTAGAAAACCCTTGCAAAAGGAGTTTTGTTTTAAGCCAGATTGTGCTCTGAACTAATAATGGAACTGGTTCTAAATACAGTTTTATTGCCACAGCCGAAAGGGCAACTTGAAGACAGGAGCAGAGTGGGGGAAGGAGAGGAGGTTGCATGGAGGTGGTAGCTGCTGAGTTCTCTGTAACAGTTTTTCCAGGGGCATTAATATGAAGGAGACCCTGCACTACAAATCCACACCCTGGTTTCTGCACAACAGCATCCTTGAGTAGACAAGCCCTGACATAACTGAATTGCCTTTAGATCGTTTTTCAAATATCAGAATTACTGAGAGAGATGGGATAGAGTTCAGAGAGGAGACTGAGTTGCCTGATGGTGGAGTGTGCAGAAGAGAGGAATGGAAAAGAGGTGGGTTGAAGAGGATAAAGGGGAGAAGTGAAGGCTGCAATCTCAAAAGTGACCTATTTTCCCATTGAGGGGACTGACTGATGATGTGGTGCTCCCTAAAGGTGCTAGATTAGGCCATACTTCTCCCAGTGTTTTGTAAAGATATCCCAGTGATATCAGTGGAAGATCCCTAGTGGATCAAAGGCAGTAAGTAGTCTTGAAAAAACCTTGTCTTCAACTTCAGTGATCTCACTGCTGAGTTTGACATCCTCACCTAGGTGTTATTGATGAGTTCATCTTGTTCCTTCATCCTGAGGAGAAAACTATCACTAGGCTTTATACTGGAGTAACATCAGCGTCTTGGTTACTAAAAGCAGTTCCCAGAAGGAGAGCTTATGATTCTGTGTAGTATGTGAACTGCAACAGGGGAGAAAGCAGCTCTTAGAGAACTGTTTCTTGATTGACTGCTTCTGGAATTACCCGTTCTGCAGTCTCGCCTGTTGTGTGCGTTATAAATACTCCTTATAGTTGCCGATTTCATGGAAGCTATTGCTAGTGTACATCTTAGTGTTTGCTCTCAGCCACAGTTATTAACATTTTTTTATTTTAAATGTATTGCTCTTTTGCGTTATCTAGCTCAGAAGATTCAAGCTTTCATGATGATTTAAGCATAACTGGTTATTAATTAAGTATTTATAATTTGCTTGATATAAGATGCAGAAAAAGATTGGCAGTGATCCATGGAAACTGCAGTTCCTTTATAAATCCATGCTATTGCCAAGCATAATAAAGGAGTATCTTCAGAAAGTACTTGGATAACACCCTTCTTATCAGCTCTTTCCATTACCGTAGTTGCGTCCCTTGTCCTGAATTATCTCAAGTTTTTACCTTTGGGCTGTGAGATGTTTGTATGGGTTTTTTTAGTTTTGGGTTTTTTATTGCCTTTCATTTTTAAACTGAGGAAAGCTCTTAATTAAAGCAAAACTTTCACTTTGCATACTTAAATGGGTGAGTAGTTGTGTGTCGTCTTTTCTCTAACTGGGATTTACTCTGAGTGTTTCTTTTACTCTCAGGTCTCAGTTAGTGATATGGATAACACCAGCAGTTCAGATTTGATAGGGGAATTCACTAGCATCGCTGCAAAGCTGTTGGAAGCAGGAGATCATGTGGTGAGCGACTGTCATTCTCCCTAACGCAGTACTCTTGCCCACTGCTTGCTGTCTCTTCCCTTTCAGGTACAATGTGCAGATCATGATAGCGATGGATCACATGACTTGATAGGTGTTTTTGAAACTAACCTGACTCAGCTGCAGAAAGCGGGTGACAGCTCTCCGGTGAGCTTTCTTGATTCCTCCATTCCAGTCCGTGATTCAGTCTTTCACAAACCCCTCTGAATTTTGACCTCTGATATATATATTTTTGGTTGCTGTTCCAAAAACGATTTTTTTTCTGCCTGTATCTTTGTATTAGTATGTATGCATCTGGGAAAAATAAAACCTGGCATAGGGAGAATACTGCTCCATTTTTCTTGGGTGCTATTACCACTCCTGTGCCTAGAGATATCTTTGAGTCCATTGTCTGCTGGCTGCATGCAGTTTTCCCCAGCACTTCTACTTGCTTTTGCCTCCGCTGAGTCAAGCGGAAACAAAAGGGCAGCTTCTTCATACTTTAGTGGAAGAGCCCAGAGGTGGAGCTTGTCTCAGATAACATCTGTACCTGAGCTGGTCACCTTCACTAACTTTCTGGTCACCTTTCTAGCTAATGGAGTGAAAGAGTGGTTATTAGTGAAAGAGTACTTCTAAGTGGCCCTCTTGTAACCTTATCTGGGGCTTCTGTTTTAGAATAAGATGAATCACTTGCTGGTGGTGCTAGTTTCTCTCTGTTGTCTGTAGTAGAAACCTGAACTTTCATTCTCATGTAGATATCTGGTCTAAATTTAGACAGATCAATCCCCACACAAGACGTAGTAGCCCCAGGGAGCTTCCAGCTGCCAGACAACTTGATTTTTTTGGTTGTGATCCTAAGGCTGGGGGAATTATCTTCCCTTTTACCTTAGCCCATGTGAACTAATGCAAGCATTATCCAGGATAGTGATCCCCCTGCACTTGTGAATGTAGGTAAAATAAATATAATCTCTTTTGGCCTCTTCCCATTCCCACCAACTCTTCCCTCAAGACTTTACCTCCTCGTCTTCGTTCCATTCTGTTAACGTGGTCAGATTCTTTCTTGGTTAAGAGAAATGCTCGTATTTATGACTGACTTTTTTGCCCTCTGTTAGGACACCTCTGTTGTATGATTGCTCACAGAATGCCACAACATCATGTTGCTGATGAGGGAAACTTTTCTGAGGTCTTTCCTCATGTGTATTGCCCTGTGTTGGTAGCAAAAGCATCTGATTTAACTTGTCAAACAGCAGCCAAAGTAGTTGCAAACCCTTTTAAATAAAGCTTCAGAATACTGCCAGACCTTAAAATAATCTCTGAAGTTGTATAAGTCTGTCACCATTCTGTTTCAGTAATTTGTAATGACGGAAATACAGATATTACTTATTTTGTAATTTGCTTCTTGCATGCTTGCTTTCTCTAGGTGGAATTTGAATGCATTCATCCTGAGAAGAAACAAAAGAAAAAGAGCTACAAAAACTCTGGCATTATTAGGATAAAATCCTGCAAGGTAGAAGGATTTTGTTTGTTTGTTTGGCTTTTTTATTTTCTGATCATAAAGAAATCTGCTTGCGTGGAGAAGGTGTAACTCTGTCTATCTGTTTCTTTAGATCGAAAGAGATTACTCTTTCCTGGACTATGTCATGGGAGGCTGCCAGATTAACTTTACAGTGAGTTTGTTTGCCTGCTGCACATCTTGGTAAATGACAGGAAAAAAGCAATGAAGTTATGTGATTCTTTTATTTGCCGTGTGCGTGTTCTTATGAACGGATGGGGATTGCAAAAAGCAAGTGATTTCATGGTTTTACTTTTTGCAATTGAATAGTAACTTTAATGGACCTGGGGGCTCTTAAACTTTTTGGAGTAATTGCTTCTTGATCTAGCAGCGGAAAGGCTGACTATTCCGTAGACATGCACGTACACCGAGGGGAAGAGGTGTGTAGACTTGTTTGCCTGTCACTGTACAGGGCTCCCTTAGTGCCTGGGAGGAAGGGAGCTGTTTGGGGCTGGTCCAGCCCTCTGATTCTGGGTATAATTCTTTTTTTCACTTGCTCATGGCGATGCTTCAGTGACCTGCTGTCATTATTTTCTCAACTGACAGGTGGGTATAGACTTCACTGGCTCCAATGGAGATCCCAAGTCACCAGATTCTCTTCACTACATCAGCCCTGATGGGGTAAATGAGTACCTGATTGCCATCTGGAGTGTGGGAAATGTAGTCCAGGATTATGACACGTACGTAGGAGGTTCTTAACTGATCTAGCCACAGCATCAAAAATGTGTCACAACAAGCGTCAGTGATAAAGGCTGATGGCTTGTTCCACAGCTCTGGCATTTGGATGACTGTGATGTTCCCTTTCCCTGGGAGGATCTGTGCAGGAGCTGGTACTTCTTCCTGCTGTGCCTGTCGCTACCGGGAGGCAGTGGCAGCACCTCATAGTTTGATTTATTTGCTTGATTTATCCCTCCAGTTCTGCCCTTTTTATGGCCTTGGATTACTCTGTAGCACAGCTTTAATTAGTCATTAATGCCTTGTTGCTGATAATGCGTTTCAAACACAAATACCCTGTTTGAATCAGTGGGAACATGCTTGCCTGCTTTGTCCTTTAGCCATATTGCCATTGGGTTGGCTTTTGTCCTGCTGCTTTGAAATGTCCTGAGAGTACTGTGGGATGCTGCACTGGAAGCAGTTCTGAAACTGTCAAGCTGTATGCCTGAAACCCTTGGGTATCTGGTGACTGGCCTAGGAGAACTAGGTGGTGTGCCCTTTCTTCACGGCAGGAATTTAATCTTGGTCTCCAACTGTTTTCTGGGAATAAAACAGAATAGTGAAGTATTAACAAAACACGTGTAAGAGCCTTTCTTTGTTGCCCTTTCTCTCCAGGGACAAGCTATTTCCTGCGTTTGGGTTTGGAGCTCAGGTTCCTCCTAACTGGCAGGTAGGGGCTTCAAAACACTGTGAGGTTGCTCTGTGCATGTCTGCGTTCCCTGATGGGTTGTAATGTCCCCTTTCCTAGGTATCTCATGAGTTTGCTTTGAACTTCAACCCCAGCAACCCTTACTGTCAAGGTGAGGAAACCTCTTTATTAGGACTTGACTGAAGAGTGGCTAATGTTTGAAGCGCTGCATTTCTTTCATAACTAATGAAAAACAGATGGAGCCCCAAGACATGCAGTGAACTAGATTTAGTCTCATCTGGACGCTGACAGGAGTGAACGTGTGTTGAAGACTTCTGTGCAATCTGCCTAAGCTCCAATGAAGGGATCTGAACTTAATCTGATTGTTAGTCTGAGCTGAAATTTTTGTTGCTGCATCTTGTTTGCTTTTGGTATGTTATGGATGGCAGTGAATTCAGATTAGCCTGTGTCTATTCTAGTTGTACTTCCAAAGCCACCATCTGCTAAGGTTGTTAGGGACCATGGTTATTTCATTAGTGTGTGCATATGTTTGAATATTATCTTTTAAAAATATTGTCTTAAAAGCTTGTTTTCTTTACAGCCATATTCTTTTGTGGTAGTTATTTGTAGTTGTTCCTAACTCTCTTTAATGACTGTTTTGTAATCTGCGTTTTGAACTCTTAGGACTATGTCAGCATGCAGTGATATAGAATTATTCTGGAATGAACGTTTTTTCCTCAGTTCAGGTTTTTTCTGCTCTGGTCCGAGGCCAGCAACGATGGGATCTGAGATTTATTGTTAAAATCCAAGCACTTGGTCAGTTCAGCACTGTCTGCCTCATTGGGATCTGTGTCCTTGCTCATTAATGGTCCCTGCACATTAGTTTTGAGAGAATCTTAGCAGTGCGGTTATCCCACTAAAACCTGTGTAGAGGGCAAACGTGAGCAGCAGTGGCAAATGAAGCTATATAGATATAAGCTAGGAGTAGGTCTTGTGCAGATGCATCTACACAAGAACGTACACCATTTAAATCAAAACTTTTAATTTAGTAAGCTTGATAAAAGTTGCTTGCATAGGAAAAACCTTGAGGGTTACTATTTCTTTTACAGAAGTGCTTGAATCCTGAATCGAGGATCGTTGTCAAGCATGCACACAAGGAAAAAGAGCATTACTGCTCCAGACAGCTTCTGACCTTTTTATCTAGTTAGACTTTAAGCAATTAAACAAAACGAACTGGAAAGTAGAAAGGACAAGGTAAACTTAGTCCTCATGCCTTCACTAGATTATTTTTCCCTAAATTCCTATCGGTTTTATTATGTTAGAGGCACAAAGAGCACTGTGAAGATATAGAACGGGGAAGAAATCCGCAAATCTTATCTCTACAGATGCCCACTGATTTCAGCAGTGTGCTTTGTATACGCACTGCAGTCATGCTGTTTGATAATTTGTCCATTAGGAGTTCACATCTGTGTGTGAGTTGTTATCGTTTGCTATACTATTTAATAATGCTTATAAAAGAATTGGTGAACTTGCAAGGCTTTTGTTGCAGCTTGCTTTCCTTATTGTACAGGGATCCAAGGAATAGTGGATGCCTACCGCCACATCCTTCCTCAGGTCCGACTCTATGGGCCAACCAATTTCTCTCCTATTATAAACCATGTGGCGAGGTTTGCGGCGCACTCAGCACAACAAGGGAATGCTTCTGTGAGTCTGTCCTTTCTTCTTGTTCTGCGTTTGCGTGTTGTTTCTATTTTCCCTGTTCTTAATGGGATGGAATGGAATGGTAAAGTGATTTCTTCTAGCTTGCTCAGGAGCCAAAGTTGGATCCTCTCTTTCCAGCCTAAAAAGAGGCTGTCAGTACTCTCCTGGTTCATATTGTTATGTACCTGTACTTGGTATGTAACGATATTAGCTTCTAATGCTCAGTTCCATTTATTTCTTCTTTTTGCAGTTTGCTGGCATGTTGAAGCATATGGATGAGCTGTCTTTGTCAGCTTTTAGGCCCTGGACTGTGTCAGCAGTTTCCTCACCCTAACCTCTCTCTTGACAAGCTTCATAACCTTTAGGGAATGCACAGTGTAAGGAGGCCATAAATATTTTATTCCAAACAATTTTGTACTCAACAATGTATATACAAAGATGAGCTGAATAATATCAGAGAGTTTGACCGTTTGTCCTGCCATAGTAGCACGCAGAATCAAGATATCTAGAGGACCAGATTAACAAAGCAGTGTGGTAATTGGTAAATTGATACGTAAATTGCTAAAATCACTGTAGGACATTCATGCTACTCCTCTGGTTGCATTGCAGATGTCTTATCTGTGTGCTTGTATAGCCATGGCAGGTGTTAAAATTCAACTCCATAATTTAAAACTTCAGTCTGTTTAAGGACAAAAAGCTCATATCTCCTCATACGTTTAACTGATTTCATTTTGACAGCTCAATTAAAAGGAATTTTGAGGTACGCTGTCATCCTTGCTTCACGGTCTAGCTGTATCAATAATTTTAGTTGTACGTACATCTAGTTCACTTCATTCCCCACGCCAGGGGGTGCTCATTCTGACAGACTGGTAGTTTATATTTCCAAGGTATTTCTTGGCCTTCCTGACACGTAGGGGAAATCTTATTTCTCTTTATATGTTAAATGTCTCTACAGTTTATTATAGATGACAACGTAACTATTTAAATAAAAGATCTGTCTAATGGGGTGCAACCAGAATGACACTTGTGTTTGTTTTTGGAATTGAAAGTTTGATTTTTGTATTATTTTCAGTTTTAGTTACTATAAAAGAGTGATAGCTCATTTCAGAAGCAGGTGGTAAACCTTAGCCTTTGAAAAACAGAAGGAAATTTTGGACGCTTTTACTATGTCAGTGTTTTGGTTTGAGGTATTTTATTCTTTCCAGAAAGATTCCTGTGTGCCTTCCCTTTTGCTGTCTGTAGAGTGTCTTTGTGTCATGAGGTTTGTCACTGCCATGCTTTGAGATGTCTAACACTTCTAATTTAAACTCCTGTCACTACTTGTGCCAAAAAGAAGGCTTTTTTGAGGCAGTTACAATCAAGGACATAAAATATTAAATTTTATCCTTTTTGAAATGTCAGTGAATAAAGCAGCATCAAACAGTGAGTTTTGTAGGCAGCTTTTCTGATTTAGTAGTACTTTGCCCATCTCTAGTACTTTCTGCCAAGGAGTATAATCATTCTTTGTAATTATAAGTTGAGTTTAAGCTTCCATTTTTTTTTTGTTTTACCTTATACAGAGGAAATCTGAAGTGCATAAGGAAAGGTGATAGGCATATGAAAACACTGGGATAAACATAAGTTCCTTTAATGTTCTGTTTCTGTCTTATCTACCACACCATCTACTTTCTTTTTCAGAGTAAGAAATTGCTCTGTTTGCCTTCAATTTTATGAGTTTTGGTGCTGAACTCAAACTGTGTGTTCTCTAATGTTTTTCAGCAATATTTTATCTTGCTGATCATCACAGATGGAGAGATCACTGACCTGGACCAAACTAGGCAAGCAATTGTTAATGCCTCTAAGCTGCCGATGTCCATCATTATTGTTGGAGTTGGTGAAGCTGATTTCAAAGCAATGGAGTTCCTTGATGGAGACAACGGTGTTCTGAAGTCCTTGACGGGAGAACCAGCTGCACGAGACATTGTTCAGTTTGTGCCTTTCCGACAGTTCAAAAATGTAAGTTATTTTTAACTTTAGAAGAGTCTTGGTGCCAGAATGTATGCAGTTATTGCATCCAAAAAATTAGCACTAGTCTGGAGAATTTATTAATGATGTAATGTATGAATTCAGCAAACTGTTACAGGAAGTGCTGTCCAAGCTGCTCGTTTCCAGTGAAAGCTGTGAGATGTTTGCATCCCCATCAGAAACTGACTGCCTTATCACAACTCCCCTGCAGCTTTTCTTAAAGAGTTCTTGTTTTATTGTTGATTTAGTATGCTGTCTCTTGGCCATTCAGAGTTAGAGGAGAAAAGCAGATGCTTTCTCTTCCCTCCTGGGATACAGCCATTTAGGCAAGGGACTGGGGTCATGCTAGACCTTATCTCTGTTTCTGATGTTAAGTTCCATGAGTGATTTAAGCTGATATTGGACTCCTCTGCTGTCAGAAGAAATCTTGTCATTCCCCAGCTTCTCCCTGCTTTTTCTGTTGAGACTAAGATTCACGAATATCATACAGTGAGCTGGACTGAAGAGTGTAGCCAAATGGAAATTAACCTTAAATAAAAGAGATTGCTAGTGGTTGTGTCAGTTTCCCACCTTGCTCAGGGTATGGGCCCTATAAAGGCTCTATCAGCATTGTGTAGGGAGGGGAGCAAGTGATTTCTTTTCAGCAGCAGTGCTCACTGAGACTGACTGGAAATACTCCTGACAATGCAGCAAGGAACCCTCAAAACAGTGAGAGAGATGTGAATGGGAAGCAGACTATGCTGTCTTCTCAGCCTTGTTTGCCTGGCAGGAGGGGGTGCACTATGAATTCTGTAAGAGAATGTCACTGTGCTGATAAATCCTTTCTCTGCAGTACCCTTGATTTATTTTCACTGTTCTCCTTGCAGGCTCCTCGGGAAGCTCTTTCCCAGATGGTTCTGGCTGAAGTGCCTAAGCAGCTCGTGTCATACTACAAGTTGCAGGGATGGCCACCTGTGAAACTACCAGAAGTAAAGAAAATGTAGTGTGCAGCCTGATCCTGGCCACGTGTATCACGGAGGTGTGCAGAGCTGTCTCTGCACCCACTCTTCTTTTGCACGTTCCAGAGAGCTCAGTGCCTCAGGAATGCACCATTCGCACTAACTTCTGCTATCTGCTTGTGCTTTGTATCTTTGATCTTTCCTGTCCCTAATGGGAAGAAATGTAAATATGGAAAAAATGCAACTGCTGGCAGTTTTTGTCACGGAACAGTAGTTCTTATTGGTTTTCCACCTTGCGACAGCGACAGGATATGCCACACATCATTGCTTGGCATAGCTCAACTCCTGCTTGATAGCAGAATGGGCACGTGCACTGAACTGCACAGCACTGCTCTCACAAAGCACTGCTTCAATGCTGAGGTTGCTAGGGCAAGTATTGTAATCGTGTTTACCATAACTGTACCTATTGTGTATTCCTTGATAGGATTTTTCTTCTATCAAGCTGCCTTGGGAACGGGGACCCTTCTGTACTGACTGGTACCAAAGTCTGTTGTTTGGATGCCTGAGGTAGTTCTTGTGCCTTCATAAAGTGCCAGTATATTTTTATATGTAGAAGTTTATTTTTGAATTTCAGTTACCATACTCTTCAACCATTTTATAAATTACTTTTTTCCATTTGTAACAACTGCACTTGTGATTTACTGTTACTTTAAAATATTTCTTGCAATGTAAGAACACACTGCACTTTGCTTATTTGCGGGAGGATTATTGAGGTATGTGACTTTCAGAATCCAGCAGCTGGAAACTTTGAAATAAAGATGTTTGAATGATTTCCCTAGTGTCAAGCAGTTATGAAATGAAGAAGTAATTATCTATGGAACTCCAAAGAGGTGCTTTGTTTTCCTCAAAAATGTGAAGCATGTATTATTATGTGGTTTGAGGACTGTCGAACAGGCAGATGATGGCAAAGTGCAATTTCTTTGAGGCAATGGAGATGATAATTCATTTCAAAATAGGAATAAAGAAGGAACTTGGGCTTGTCATTGCTTTCCAAGTGGTCATTACTCTCAATTTCATAAATAAATAATCTGCTTTGATTTATAGCCACGTCTGAACTCATTTTTTTTCTTTCTGGGCTTTTTCTTTTGTTTTCCAGCAATATTGGTGTTGTGGTTTATGGAAGGTCTTCGCTATAGTATTAATGCTAGGCAGTCAGCATCTAAGTTAGCTTAGGTTGAATGTGAGGAAAAGCAGAGCAAATTATCTGTTATCATCAGTGGTGTTACCTATTAATCACCAAGACTGCTAAATGTATAGTCTGTAGCTCTGTCCTGCAGTAAGATGAGCTGTTTGTTTAGCATCAAATGATGAAAGAACTCACCTGTTCTACTGGGCACACAGTAATTGCAAGAAGAATTTGGGAGACTGCCCGAGTGATTTAGCATACCAAATTGGTAGGTCACAAACATGTGAAAGCTAAAACTTGGGTTTGAACCCACATCCTCAACCACGCTAGCCATTCTGGATGGTATTTGCCACCAAAGTCTAAAATACAGCTTGTGTTTGAAGGGCAGTGGAACCAGGAGCAAAAGATGTTTTTGCTAGTTTTGCTAGCTTTTCATTCAAATATAGTTTCAATTGTGATGCATTCTCCCAGGTTCCATAGCCAGCAGACATTTTCCTTCCTCCAGAGAAAGCGGGGATAGCTCTCCTAAAGTACTCTATAAGCACCCATTCAGATTCTTAAAAGATAAAAAGCAATCTTTCTTCTTGATTGACTGCATAAACTATGTTATAAGCATGGAAGACAGGGAATAAAACTCTGCAGTCTTCCCTGAGAAACTGGGCTGTGGCTGAGAACATTCTTTCTGTTATGTGTTCAGCTGCTTATAACCGGTAGGCAGAACTCTCCTTGAGTCTGTATCTGTGATCTGTTTGGGTGAATCTAAGATTTTCTTTCCTTTTTTTTTTTTTGGGGGGGGGGGGAGAGTGAGGAAAAAAAAAAAACACTTTGTTTCACTGGCAAGAGGTCATAAGCATGTGACTTTTCTTTGCTACAGTATTTAGGGGCAGAATATGAGCTGTGAGAAAGCTGGGCAGCAGAATGCATAGGGAGAAATGGATTTCTCCGCTCTTGTAAACTTGTATCTGTTCTGCTCAAAAGGAGGGAAAATTAATTAATCTTCTCTAGTACCTATCTATCTCCATTGGCTATGAAGGGAAGTTAGACAATTGGAGTAGCTGTCTAGGCTAACGTTACCTGAGGTGACTGCTCTGTGAGAGTGGAGGAAAATTCAGACAAGTTGTTTTTCCTCCAGGTAAGTGGCTGAGATGCAACAGCAGAGAAGCTCAACAGGTATTGTTTGAGGAGGACAAGTACTATACTGGTATGGGCTGAGATGAAAAGCCATTAGGAAGGTCAAGCTTGGAATCTGCTAAATCAGAACTGCGCAGTTTTGTCTAGTTTCTCTCAGTCTTGACTCTTATTTTCCCCAGAGCTCCTTTTCTTAGAAACTATTAGCTAACTGCTATTAGCTGTTTTGGTCAGAGGTTAGGATGCATGTCCTGTGCCTTGTGCTGCCCCTGGGTGTAGCTGGAATGCAGAGTTACAGCATGTTTGTTGCCTGAGGGTAGGCCAGAGCTCAGGTTTTCTTCCTTAGAAGCATCTGCTGTTCTCCTTTCAAGTGTTCACTCACCCAGTGGTTTTCCCCATTCCCTGTCATTCCTGATCACTTTTTTGCTCTATATCCACAGCAGGCGTGTTCAAGCTGTGCCCCTTCTGATGTGTGCTGTGTGGGTGTAGAGAATGCTTTCACCTGTGCTGTCAGTTCTCAATGAAAAGATATGGCATGTGATGATATTCCCATTTCTATTTGCCCTGGCCAGGTCTGGTTGACACCTCTGGACTCTGGAAACCTGTGAAAGCTCTCAAAGTGGCTCAACTTGATCATCTGCTGTTGACTCATGGGTTTGACTGGACAAGACCAGGATAAGCATTAGAGGTGGTCAGAATTGTACCCAACTTTATTTGGCACCAAAAGTAACTTGAGTTTACTCTTCTTGTCTTGGTATCAACAGCGACTGATCCTCAACTCTCAAAATCAATTTTTGGGGGAGAGGGAGGAAAGGAAGGTGGTGTATGTCACGTGGTACCTGGCCCAGTGCTGTCCCACTAAAGGATGTTCTGTCATTCTGCTTGGTATTTCCTCTTGGACTACTGCCAGGTATCTCCCATGGGGTAAACTGTTACCAATTGCTTCTCTCTCTTATCAGTCTCTATGGTACAATGTTCATCCTATGTTGGTGCCAGCACACAGAAGCAAGTGAAGATCTTTCTGCTGTCACGTGCTTTCTGCACTAGTATTTAGACAGTCTTTCTCAAGGTTAACATCACTAGCATTATGGGAAAAGTTTCTTCATAAACACTTTCACAAAGACCTTGTGCTGTCAACTTCTTAGGCCTGTAGGGTTCAGGATCCATCACCCATGTCTTCCTCTGCATGGGGCCAACTGTTGTCCACCTTGTATCCCAGCTTAGCACTGCATTCTACAGACACTGAAACTGTGTCAGCAGGTCTTCCTGCTGCCCTGAAGGATCTCCCTTTCACCTATGTCACTTGGACAGCGACAACTTGCCTTACTACTGTTTTTTCCTGGGGCGGGGGGTTGCACACCACATAGCGTGGAGAGAAGGCTGCTCGTCCTCTGATCAAGTTATGCCTTTCAGGAGCTGTCCTGTAGCGTGCTTGGATCCTTACCAGTCCCAAGGGAGAGTGAAACATCCTTGCAACACTTCAAACATCCTCTGTCAGCGCCCACTGATGTGCATCTTATTTTTCACCAGCAAGGCTATTACGTCTTTCAGTGATCTTATGGCAAATGATAGTTATTTGCTGTCCAGAAGTGAGAAGTGTAAACAGGAGGCCTTGGTTCCCCAGCATAGCAGTTTCCACGCTTCCACTCATGATCTTTCCCTTGTTGAAATGGCAGTGGCTGAAACATCTGAACAATTGTTTTCTAAAGACAGGAAGGATGAGTCTGGGTGGTTTGGGAGGAGCATGTGCACATTTGTGCTTCTCTACTTTAAATCCTGAACCTGTAGATTTTGAACCTGTAGATTTGTGACCTGTAGATTTTAGGGAGAATTTCTGGTTGAAGCAAAGATATTCATTTTCAAGGAAATCTTTCCATGTGATCTGCATGTGACTACTGATGTAACACCTAAAATCACATCTGCAATGGGATGACTGTCAGAGTTTGGTCCCCTGACACCCCGTGGAAACCTCTGTTGTGGTCAGTCTGAGATTGCATGAGCTCTGTTCAGTTAAGGACCCACACTGAGATAACCTCTTACTAAATCTGTCCTTTGTACTTCAAAAGAGACCATCTCCCCTCCCCACCCTCAGAGACTTCAGCCCTCTGTCACAACATGGATGTAGTTACAGTTGGGGTAATCAGTCCTGTAGTGTTACCATCGAAGGTGTTCTGGTACCATAACTTCTCAGCATCCCTCTTCTCTATCTACAGTCCTGATGGTTTTTCTTCACAAATTGTTTCCTACCTGCAGTAACAGGCTACCTTCGTAGCAGGGATACGTGGATTTGCAGCAAGCACTTCAGTCCCCAACTCTGTTGCCATCCATCCTCAGTGATTTATTCATCCCCTTTGCAGGAGTCCCTCTCACAGGAGGCTTCCTTGCCAAGAGGTAGACTTTCTTCTGGGCGTGTTGTTCATTCCAGAAACAAAAGACAGTTGCAGACCTGCTGCAAATTTAATAAAGCATATGTCTTCATCTGCAGATGAGGCCTCAACTACCAGCATCTCATCATCAAAAGAGGAACTTGGTTCATGTCCCTTGATTCTCATATTTCCCCTGCAGAATCACAGAGGAAAGTGCTGGCCAGGACCACCATCACAGCCTTCATCAAAGCATCAGCAGCATCTTACTGTGGGCAGAAGGGCAGTTGATCATCCTGTGATCTGCTGAGAAGTGATTGATCAAAAAAGAGCATTTTCAGGCACTGAGGTCTCCTGGTGAACACCCCAGAAATCTGTTTATGCTGGTCCTAGCCACAGATTCAATAGGCACCTCTATACTTGCTGTCAGGGAAGGTGTTTCAGCTTTGTATAAATTGAAAGCTACTGGATGTGGGAGCTCATCAGGGAGTGCTTCTCTTCTAGGGAAGCATATTGTCACATGTCCTTCTATAGGACACATAAGAATAAATACTTGGGACAGTTCATAACAGACTATGCCATGAGCTGCAGGCTCATATCATCTCTGAAGGTTCTGCTACCTGTACAGAGCTCCCTTCTGGCACAGAACATGCTCCAACCCCCTTCTCTGTTCATTGGGTTGAGAATCCTACTCAGAGGCTAAGATGTTGTGTGCGTGAACTACAGGCCAGTCAGCCTCACATCGATCTCTGGGAAGGTGAAGGAGCATGGATACCACTTCCAAGCATATGGAGGATAAGAAGGTAGTCAGCATGGATTCACCAAAGGGAAATCATGCTTGACCAACCTGAGAGCCTTCTCGGATGGAATGACTGGCTGTGTGGATGAGGGCAGAGCAGTGGATGTTGTCTGCCTGGACTTCAGCAAGGCTTTGGACACTGTCTCCCATCACATCCTCGTAGGTAAGCTCAGGAAGTGTGGGTTAGATGAGCAGACAGTGAAGTGGATTGCAAACTGGCTGGATGGCAGAGCTCAGAGGGTTGTGGTCAGTGGCGCAGAGTCTAGTTGGAGGCCTGTAGCTAGCGGTGTCCTGCAGGGGTCAGCACTGGGTCCAGTCTTGTTCAGCCTGCTCCTCAGTGACCTGGATGAAGGCACAGAGTGCACCCTCAGCAAGTTTGCTGATGATCCTAAACTGGGGGGAGTGGCTGATACACCAGAGGGCTGTGCTGCCATTGAGAGGGAGCTGGAGAGGCTGGAGAGCTGGGCGGAGAGGAACCTCCTGAAGTTCAACCAAGGCAAGTGCAGGGTCCTGCACACAGGGAGGAATAACCCCAGGCACCAGCACAGGCTGGGGGCTGAGCTGCTG